TGTGCAATGACGTCAGCCAGTGCCTTCAGTACCCTCTGATGGAGCTCATCCGGGCCTGCCGACTTAAACACATCCAGTTCCTCCAACTGGATTTTCTTCCCCTATAGAAGTGTATGGAGCAAGGAATGGCACATCCTGCAAAATACCTTAAGCGCAGCCCTGCACTACCTGCTACGTGGCATCTCTCCAGCCCGGGCCATAGGTTTTTCTGATAGTCAGTCTAACCAACCCAACGTGGATTCACCACGTGCACTTTTGAAATTTACGAACAAACCAAAAAGGTCCTGCTGTCTTGCAGTGGCAGATAAGAGCCAAAACTTGTTTGGAATTTGGGCTACAGAAGCCATATCTCAAATAAAGCAAGCTGAAGTTCTGAAAGATTGCATGAATCAGTTTGGCCAGCTTGTTGGAAAACAGACTGCTGTTTCGTCACCTTTAGGTCTTAGTTCTGAGAGCACTTACGATGGACACAATCTGTGACAAAAATGTCCAAAATGTACTTGGCTTCAGTACATTCAATTCTTGCACTGATGAACTTTTAAAAATAGCTCTTAAAGATAGGAATCTCGCTCTCTCATCTTGCCTGTGACACCAGTCTGTGAACAAATGATATTAAAAAGTGAGTTTTGCCTTTGGATCTGACTTGTCTTTGAGTGACAAATAGCAGCATAAGTTACATACATATATATATATATATTTGTGTGTGTAACTTTATATATAAATGTGTGGCAAAGACAAGTCAGATCCAAAGACAAAACTCACTCTTTAATATCATTTGTTTATATATATAGACACACGCAGTTGCACATGTGTGTGTGTGTGTGTCTCTGTATATTTACTTGTGTATATATATGTGTGTGTGTGTGTAACTGTTATGCTGCTATATGTATACAAAGCCTTTTAGCTTTCTGTCCTTTCTTGTGAGTCCGTTCATTGTATGTTCTCAGCTGTCACATTTAATTGTTAGTCTTACTTTTCACTCCTTATTCCAATGGATGTGGGGGTTTTTGGGGTTTTTTTTTGGTTTTTTGATTAATTGGATTCCCTGAATAGGGTGTATATAGTTTATTTACTGAAGCTGCTGGGCTTTAAATTGAACTCCTGAACCAAATGTTTACAGAAACCTCTAAGGTACAGTGTTCTCAGTGGGATGCTTAGCCTTGAGATCTTGAAGGGTCAGTTTCCTCTTGTGTGTTCCTCCATTTCCTGTTTATCTTTAACTTGAATGTCTGAATTCTTTTGTGGAAAAAAAGATAGGGAATTTAGCTCTGCTAATGTGGATAGCATTGGCTTTGTATTGGGCGTATTAATACAGTACCCTAGGAGAAACTCCTTGCCTCTACAGAATCTGAAAAGTGGAAATT